AAATTTTTGCGTTGCTATAGTTTGTGCTGATTAAATTTATTAATTTCAAGTAGATTAATTGTTATATGTGAATATAATTAATTAATAACAGTAAAATAAAGTATGAATTACTGTTATAATATACAATTTAGGAAAAAAAGTACCGTAGAATTAAATAAAATTTTGCAACCTCAAAATACCGTTCTGCTTACAGTAAACACAGTCGGTAGTCTGGCGCTCCGTTGACAACGGATTTGAACGGAACTTGGCGCCAGATTCTACTGAATCTGTGGATTACATTTAGCCTCAATGGGTGTGTCTATCCATTTACAGTCATAGTGGGCTAGCATCTTTTCCTCCAATGCTACTTTCCTCGAGTCCGCATTTTCTGCCTTGCTCGCTTGTTGCCATGTGGTCGGATTTTCTGTCACTGTCAGATATGCGAATACCTCTTCGTCTATCGCATTATCTTCTATTTCTTCATTCTCTTCTTCGCTGGCAGCTCCGTAGTTTTCCCTACTCTGTTCGTCTGGGAGCGTGACGTATACTTTCTTCGGTGTGCCTACCGATTCTGTCCGAAGGTACATCGGACGTCTTCGGCCTCTCTTGCTGGGTAACTCTACGCCTTCTCAAGACTGCATTGCCCCTCTCTTTCTCTGGGGTCTTTCTGGTATCTTTGCTGATTTGGGCATCTCCGGCTCTTCGCTCGGCTCCTCGAGTTCTTCACACTGCTCCTCTATTACCTCAGTGTTTCTCTCGGTCTTGAATATCTCCTTGTATTCGCCCTTAAATCTGATCTGATCAACAAACTTCACATCCCGTGTAGTTACTACTGATCTATCCCGCGGAAAATAGATACGATATGCCTTGGAAGATAATGCATATCCTACAAATACCCCTGCTGTCGACCTGGAATCTAATTTCGCGCGCTTTTGCGTCTTATCCAAAACGAAAGCTTTTGTCCCAAAAACTTGCATGTGTTTAACTGTGAGAGGTCTCCCCTTCCACACACAATACGGTATCTCACTGTTTAACGCACTGGTCGGACATCTATTTCTTATGTAGTTTGCGTTACTCAACGCCTCGGCCCACAGGTGGGAGGGGGTGCCTCTGCCTGCCGCATCATACATCGTACCATCTCTATTAACGTTCGGTTCTATCTCTCCGCTATACCGTTCTGTTGAGGTGTGTGCGGTGCTGTCAATCGTCTTTGAATTCCATTTTTCTGTAGAAATTCATTGAACGGCCCGTTACAATACTCCTTTCCGTTATCTGATTGTAACGCCTTTATCTTTTCCCCAGTCTGGTTTTCCACGGTGGAAACTCCACCTCGCTTTTATACTCCTTGAATTTTTCTAGAACTTCAGATTTATTTTTCATCAAGTATATTTGACACCATCTTGACTTATCATCGATGAAGGTGACGAAATATCTTTTTCCTGATGCCGATGCATGCCGCATTGGTCCACACACATCTGAATAAACTATTTCAAGTAATTTCTGGGTTCATTGTTCACTGGTTTTTGGAAAAAGTAATCTAGCCTGTTTTTCTTGGATGCATACTTCACACTCTGACAATTTTTCACTGTCGCTAATGTCTAACCCATACACCAATTCACTTTTGGTCATGAGCTTTAGCTCTCGCTCATTGACATGCCCTAACTTTTCATGCCATTTATTTATCCCTAGCTTTTCACTAGATACGGCACTGTTTACACTGTTCACACTGTCTTTAATGTCATTTACAAAGTATAAGTGTCCGCGTCTTTGCGCACGCATAATCACATCATTGTTGTTATTTACCAATACCGCTTCAGTTTTTCTGAAGGTCACTGTATTTCCGAAATCTGTGGCTTGTGCCACCGAGAATAAATTTGTTCTCAAATCTGGTACGTATGACACGTTCTTAAACTCGATGTCTCATTGTCTTTTACCTGTTGACACATTCACTGAAACATTACCTGTTCCCAATATTTTCGTATTTTTATCCGTTGCCAGGCTCAACTCTGCCTGCTTAGGCTTAAAATTACTAAACTTGTTTCTATTATTACACAAGTGATTGGTCGCACCACAGTCTATACACCAACACATGTTACCACTACTACTGTACTAGCAAAGTGAAAAACTGTTTGAAAGTTTTCAAGATATTCATAATTTATTTCATTATCATTATTTTAATCACCATAGAAACATCGTCCAGATCCTACCATTAGGAGATGAATTGTTTTTTTATCTGAAATATTATTGCTTAAATAATAATGGAACTAAGACATTCTTATTTATTAATATTATTTGGAAATTTCATTAATATTATTGGGAATTTATGTTTAAAATTATTGTTAATAATTACTCAATTGTTAAAAATTTATAATATCTAAGCTTGGTTATTTAATTATTTTTATTGTAATTTTTATTTCCGAAATTAAGTCGTTATAATTAATAATTAATTTCTAAGAATTATAGAAACGACATAAGATTAAGAATATTTATTCAAACTTGGACAAATTCCAAGAAAATTAAACTATTAATCATGAATTAGAGTTACGTAGCCCTCGGAGAAATTTGACAATTTTTAAACCTCTTGGGCCTTTATTATAATAAATTCTTCTTCATTTTCTAAATTTATTCTAATTTTTATTTTCTTTCGCTAAGTATTTTGTGCTCGCTGCTTTAATTTACCTTGATCCTTTCCCTGTACTGTATTATTTTATATTAGGTGAAATATTTATTATTTGGGCTTAATATTATTACTCATTGCTCAATATTTGATTCTATTTCTATTTTTATTCTATTTTAATTTTTATTTTCCATTCACGAGAAATTTAAGTCATCAATTGATTGCTCGGCGCGACCCCAGGATAAACTTGAAATTTTGGCAATCTTGAGAAAATTGCCTGGCGTCTAACGGGATTTCTAACCCAGCCTGTGTGTTGTCAGGCTCATTTGTTTATTTTCAAGGCGAGCGTAATTTATTCTACCCGGCCGATAACTCCACCTCCCCAAATTTTTACCACAGGAAAAATATTGTTACACATTTATTTTTAATTTATTTAATTTTTCAAATTTTGCAATGTCTCTTAAAGAAATCGGAAATTTTATAACTTTAAGATTAAACTTATCATCTCAATTTTTGTATGATGAAACACGATATGGATGATCTTTTGTAAAGAACAAAACAGCTTTAATACACCATAAAAAACAGTACATATTCTTATTCTGAATGTTCAAGACACCACCTGTATCAATTATGTCCTTTGGTAATGGAATGAACGTTGAAAAACAACCATAAATCGGAGCAAATCGGGAGATATTAACATCCAGGTACATAACTTCACTTAAACTCCACGCGGAGTTCTTTTCATTAAATTCTTCAATTTTTCGAAGAAGGGTATAGTAAACAACGTCTTTGAACCAATTTTCGAGTGATGTTGAGAGTAAAATATTATTAATTGGGGTCTTAAAAGATTTATCCTCCTCAACTCGTTGATTATTTATTTTTTGAATTTTCAAATTTGCATATTAAAATTGTGCTCATCTTAATGCTACCTTCCGTTTTTACAGTAGTTTGAACTTTTTCGATAAGCATCTTTTTAGCATCAAGTAGAAAGTTTCGTAAGTCAATATGACCTCCATTAATAATACTTCCGGTTTATATGCAGTTTTTAAAAGCATTCTCCAAATCGTACCAGTGAATTAAATGATTAGTGTTCAATGCAGCATCAATCACTGATCGGCTTAATTGCATGAATTTATTACTATACCAGCACAAGAGAGAAATGTTAGCTTGGAGATTTTTCTTCTCAGAAACCGTGGTTCTAAGGTGAAGAAGTAAATCATTGAATTGTTATCGAGTACCATCATGTTCGTTCACTCACTGAATCGAGCTGAAACAATAATTCATATGCCTCAGCAATAATATTCAGAATATTATTAAATTCAACGATAGACATGTTTGATATATATTTTAAATAGACTTGTACGTTGGACGTGAACATCGTTGAGTTATACAACAAACTGATGAATTTGGAACCAAAATCATTCAATTTATGTGTTTATAGATAAGAATTGTTACAATTGTTAGTCTCATTTTGGGTGAGCCACATAAAAAAAATAACAAAAATATCTATAAACAATGACTCATAAAGATAGGAGAATTTATCAAATAACAATTGTTTATAAGGTAAAAATATTAATTAATAATATAACTCCCATCAATAACCCCCACCAACAACTGTTACGTTCTGCAGAAATTCAAAGTTTTTCCCAGATAAAAATAAAATTGTTTTTAATCAATAATCCTCAGGTTTTGACCTCGTTAGGAAGTCAATAGACTCCAAGTGAGTCGCGTCACTGGTTTAACCGCGAGGTCACTTTTAAAATTAAAATTTATATGTTTTTGATATAACTTCCAATTTACCTGCCCTCAGGTAGGTGATGGATAGAGTGCCTGAACGCTGGATAGCGCTCTGGGCGATTTCACGAGGTTGGAACAGCTAATAAGCGCTCACACCCTGGGCTAAGGTTTTAATAAATTTCCATAATTGATTAACAATTAACAAAAATTTATTAATAAGGAATTGGCAGGCTTAGCCTCGGACCAGCAGAGATCGCTCCTCTGCTAAGTCCTCAAACTGACTGTTCCAGAAGAAGTCTGGATACAGAATGCATAAAGAATAATTATTACAATAAGTTTTTATAACAGATTTTAGCAACTTTGCATCTTAGATTACCCTATGTGAACATCAATGCAGTCCAAATCCCACAACGTAGACTGTTTAGTCTACTGAGGTCCGTTGACCGTCCAGAAATCTCTTATCCCGAAGTATTTCCATTGCGAAATACCTCGGATAATAATTGATTAATTAAAATAATAATTTATTAAATTTAAAATAATAATTTATTAAATTTAAAATAAATTTGAAATTTGCGACAACGTAAGACAACCTACCGCCAAAATTCAAAAACAACCTCTTCTCACCTCCTGTAAGACTCAAAAGCGCCCTCTAAAGTCACGCTCAGAGATGTTGGTAACAAATAATCAACCGTCAATACAACAGAAAGAGGGTAAGCTCTGTCCACAACCGCTTGGTGGCACTCGAGCTCGAGGTTGGCCTCCCCCTGTTTAACTACTCATATCAATGGAGGACACATGAATGGTTTTCTGATATTTTTTCCTATTGTCTCCTTAGAGTGATCAATAAGTGGTTAATTAGTTATCTCTGAATGATCTTTCTTTGATCTGCGGTTGACTCCTGAATGATCGTGCAGTGATCAACGATCGATCTTTTATTGATCAATTCATTTTTTGTACGAGAAATTATGTACAGTAACGTACATTCAATTGAAAATTAAAGAAAAATCAGTTTAAGTGCAGCTAGGAAGATGAACTCATTAGCGGTCACCTTTCCACGTATTAACCATTACCAATGCTTTCTAAATTTATTGCTGGCGTGTTCTATGATTTGGCTTGACTGGCTGCTCCTCAGAAGATGAATATATTTTTTTCTTACATAAACTCTTGTGCTTACGTAAAAAATACCCACTTATTAAACAGTGGATATTTTTTTTTTTATTTTTTTGGTAAAAAAGTCGATATGAACTTTATTATTGTTATTATACGTCTTTTATAACTTTACGTAAGACTTATAATAACAATAATATAGTTGATATCGAGTTTCCTACCGAAAAAAATTAAAAATAAAAAAATACCGACTGTTTAATAAGCATAGAATTGATTGTGAATGTAGGTTGTAATCGTTTACTCGCTAACCAGTGTTTATCTTAAATCTCAATGCAACATCTATGATTCTATATACGAACTATGATTTTCATTTAAATCTCAACCCACTTTTTCTAGCATGATTAATTTAGACATTCACAATTATCGTGATAAAATGATATGTAAAGATATGAAATTATATATAATTATATACAAAAATACAAAAATTATAAAAACCATCATATATGACTATATACAATTATATATAACTATATACAATGATACAAAAATCATAACAAACGTAATATATGATTACAAACGATTATATATAATTTTTTAAACCCGAGTAGTCGCGACATGAACCGATTTTTTTTATAAAATTTTGAATTAAATATGTTACTGTACATAATTCAAGTGTTACCATAACATTTTTCATTATTAATGACAACTAAAACCGGAAATATCCCTTATCTACTGTTTTTTTTTTTTTTTTTTTATTGGAAAGGGCTCTTATTTTTGACTTCTGTAAGAGGTTCTTTTCTAATACAAGAAAAAAGTACTTAAAATTCCTTTTAAAAAGTCTTGATTTGGTCATCGAGTAGCGCATTTCACGTCTTCTAGACCTCTTCAAGACTTCATTTTGATTAACTTTCTGACGTCCAAACCTTAAATAAAAATTCTTCAAGAACTGTCAGTACGTGTTTCTTAGAAATCGACGTTATATATGAAAAAAAACTTGTAGATTTTAATAAAGAAGAGTTTTAAAAAATTTTTCAATTTCTCACTTTAAAAGTCTGTTTACAAGTCTATTCTTGATAAAATTGTAGCAATTATGAAAAAAGAAAGTAACTCTTCTTCTTAGAAATTGATATCTTGAAAACAGTAGAAGAAAAAAAAATTGAAAAAAATTAAAGAGACCTCTCTCAACTGATGCAATAACATGAAGAATCATGAAAGAAATTAAAAATGCAAAAGCTAAATGTGTCCGATTTGAAATAGAATGACTCATTTAGAGATTGACATGTAATAAACGAGCCTCATCAAAAGATTTGTATTATTAAATAGTAAACATATAGATATTACTTACGTCATATTTTTCTTGAATATGTGGTCCCGCTTGAGCGACGTATAGTGTACTAGCAGTGTCGAAAACGAGTTCTTGTGGTAGACGAGTCATTTTTTTACGACCTATTTCATTACAATTGAGATAGAGGATGACATCAACTGTTGAAACACGAATTACAACTTTAGACCATTTTTTCGTTAATTTCGGCACTTTGAACTTTGCGATTTCTTCTGAATGAGAGTATTCATCTGAATTAGTGAAAACTAAAGAAATATTCTGACTTGAATTGGGTCCTTCCTGTAATAAAATTATCAACAATAACGTTTAAAAAAATTTTAAATCAATCTTGTTAAGATAAAAATTAGTTATTATCTCAGATTTTTGATAATGCTTAAAACTGAGTGTTCATGATCCATTTTTATGACATGTCTGATGAGAGAATGAATGTTTTATCGCTGTACGTTACAAATTTACAAATTTATAAATTTATTCCGTTTGAATTCATTCCGATTCTCTAGATTTGATCCAAACAGATCTAAACATGTTTTTCTGAATCGCTCGAAAAATATTAGTTCGTCGATAAGAATTGTAAAATTACTAGTTAGGGGCTGTTCATAAATTACGTAAGCGCTTATTAGGGGAGGGGGGTCAAGCTGAATCTCTAATATGCATGCTTACTTAGGGGGGAGGGCGCTAGTAGACAAATCTTACGTAAGCAAAATTTTTAATTTATTTCAGTAGTCGGTAACTTTAATTACTTTTCCACAAAGATTCTCGATCGATAGTTCAATTGTATCGATAATGTCACACATAGTTACCAATGGTAAATTTACGTCTCTAAGGGTATTAAGTTTTAATATAAATAGTATTGTTGGCCATATATCTCAATTAACTCATCAAATTATTGAAAAAAATCCTCATATCATTGTTTTAGTGGAAACCTGGCTAAAATCTAGCATTAATAATGATCTACTCACTTTTAACGATTATTCTTTGTTTAGAAGAGACAGAAATCTGATACATCCAGCCACGGGTCGTTATGTACAGGGTAGGGGTGTAGCTTGCTACATCCATAAAACAATTAAAGCTAAATTACTGTACTCTTCTGTCTCTGATGACATAAATTCACCTGAATATATAATGTTAGATGTTATGTTGACCTGTGGTTCGCATATGTTACTAGCTGGTGTCTACAGACGTCCAAATGGCCATACGCTGCATGAATTTTTCAATACCTTCATGAAATATTCAACAAATTTTACAAATGTAATTATAGCAGGAGACCTAAACTGTAATCTATTAGATAACACTTGGACAGCAAACCATCTAAAGACATTCATTTATGAATCATCCCTATATTGTATACCTTATAATACTACGCATCACAGTGGACATAGCGATTCATAGCTGGATGTAATCCTAGTAGACAATATTAGTAAATTAGGTACCTTTCATAAGTCAACATCTCCCTTTATAGCAGGTCATGACTATCTGTATTGTGAATATCATCTAAACTGTCCTAAACTACCAGATAAATTTATAACTTTTGCTCGCTTACTTGTCAGATCGTTCACAATCAATATTAAACGATTAAAACCACCCATTAGAGTTCCTTGATATAACATCGGGCGTACCCCAAGGTTCAGTCCTAGGGCCTATATTGTTTTTAATAGTTATAAATCTGGTAGTACGACAAATTACTCACTGTAAATATGGTCTGTTTGCCGACGACAAATATATATATTATCACTTTAAACCTACTTCAGTAACCGAAGCAATTAGATTAGTAACAATTGATGCACAGGGGATTGCTGATTGGGCTAAAGATCATGGATTACAGGTAAACTTAAATAAAACAAAATCTTTGATAATAGGGTCAAACAGTAAACTAAAATCATTAAACATTGACTCGCTACCACCCATTATTATCAACAATGTTCCTTTACCGTATGTAAGCCAAACAAAATGTCTGGGCTTATCGTTAAACAATGATCTCTTATGGAAAAATTATGTTTCACAAACTGTTAGAAAAGTGAATGCTGCTCTATATACATTAAAAAGTCGGAAGAATATTTATACTACTGCTATCAGAAAACTTCTAGTCACTGCAACTATTCTTCCTCTTATTGATTATTGTACTGTAGTGCTTATTGATGCCACAGCTGACAATAATCTAAAATTACAGCGAGCATTAAATAGTTCAATACGATTTATTTATAATCTAAAGAGAGATGAACATATTACTCCATACAGACGTAAATTAAATTGGTTATCTGTGAAGTCAAGACGTCTATATTATTTAATCACTTATTATTATAAACTATTGCAAACAGGAAAACCTAGTTACCTTAGGGAATTATTTGTTGAAGATGAAGCTAGACGTTCTGAAAGATTAGCTATAAAAACAAATAATGTAAATTTTGAATTGCCAAATTTTTCTACAAATTATCTTGAAAATCCATTTGTAGTAACTACAATACGTTTGTGGCAAAATTTACTTGCAGAAATTGTGAATGCAAGCAGTCTAGAAGTGTTTAAAACAAAGATTTATGACTATTTCTTGGAACTTGACTTTCAGTAAATTACCTTCACGTTGGCTTCTGTATATATTCAAATACTCTTACAAATTATTGTTACTTACTAGTCAAAGCAACTACCATTATATTGTTAAATACGTGGATTAGAATAAATATTACATTGTTACTTATTAAATCAAATTTAATCTAATATTAAAACTAAAGTTAAATCTAAAATAAAATTATAATTGTTATTTTATAAATAAGATTTTGATGTACACCTACACCTAAGTTTATTACTTTGTATTAAATTTTAAGTAAAAATTTATAAAACTATGTAGAAACCTTTGCCATTCGGCTAATTGCCTTGGCATATTAAATAAATACATACATACATACATACAGTTTTGTTTGGTTATAAGTTGTTAAAACAAAGCAGAAAGAGCGAAGCTGACATGAGTGTCAGAATCTTTTATTTTTTGTTAAAAAATGCTAGTTGATGCACATAGTAAAAATTAAACTAATTGAATCCTATTCAGTTGGAATAGTTTTAATAATCCATTTGGGGTTTGTAAGGTTGAATCTTACCCAGTTGGTGGTAATTTAAAAAATTCAACCTGGTCCGTCAAGTTTAATTAATCCGTTTTTGCCTATTTTGTAATAAATAGTTTGATTCACTTTGCCTGTTCAGTCAGAACAGTTTGATATATTATTAGTAATATTCGAAGCACCTAATATTACTAATTAGCTCCAGTTCGTGTGTGAATGTTGCCAAGTTAGCCATCAGTGGTTAAAATAATTTATTTAATAGTTATAACTATTATAATAAATAAATTATCCAACAAATAAGTCAATCAGTTATTTGCATCTTGCCATTACATCCCACTCCCAGTACGCGGTTTGAGGTGGATTCACCAGAATATGTGCCAGAGGCCACGTGTCCCAATTCACTAGAAGAAGCAACACCTACTCGAAGTCCTAATTAAGCTATTGTTACGTCCAAATCGTTGAACGTAAATTATTAAATTTATTTTGATCCTGGTATTTTTCAACCACTAGATCGGGAACCCAGAAGTATTATGAAAGGATATTGGTTTATAGTTTTTTAAATAAATTATTTCGCTTCAATTTATGTTATTCATTATATTAAATTAATAAAAGTTACAAAAAATTGAAATGTTACAAAGGTTACAAAGTTAAATGCTTAAATGATTAATTCTTACAAGAATTCTATTGTTTCAGATTTAAAATTAAATAATTCAATATTGAACACGTGTGAAACTACAATAAGTTTGAACACATACCTTTATTGTTACGTTGACACACGTGGCTCTTTTGATCAATTAATTTTTATTATTTAGCGTGTTTAATTAATTATTTATTTTTATTGAAGTTAAATAAGAATTGGTTTAAAATATTATTATGATTTTTACCTTAAAATAACAAATGGAAACTTATTCAAAACTGATTCAAAGACACTGATTTTAGTTTAAAATAAACTATTTAGCTGCGTGAGGGTAAACCACGGTCACTAGCTAACTGGGCGATCCGCACAGTTCGGGGTCAGGAAGACGAGAGAGAGTTCATGCGAAGTTCTTTTCGGGACTCGAATTTCCGGGCGTTTCCAAATTACTAATTGGGGGAAAACAGTAGCCAATTATCTGTCTATTTCCCTTAGTTTCTACCCTCTCTTCCGATTTTTCCAAGATGTTCGCTTGAACTCCCTTCCTTGGGCCCAGAGGCATGATGTGCCTCTCTCTCTTACTTATAGGCTAAAATATATCTATGTATTGGTATACGTGTAAGCACATTTACATGCACACAAACACATAGTTTTTCTAATTAAGTCTTATATTTTATTTATAATTATTACTAACTTATTTATTTATTTAGTTTATTTTACGAATAATGATATTCATTTCTTATAGTTATTCATTTTGCGCATAATTATTTATGCAACTGTCGATAATTGTATATTATTAATATTTAAATAATTATTTAAATATTTCCTATTGTTTAGTTATTAATTCTTATTTTTTTTTACTATTATTTAAATATTTCTTATTTTCGTGAATGTTATTTATTAATGTGTTGTTAAATTTTATTATTAATTTTAGTTATTTGAAATTACTTATTTTAAAAGTTTTAAATTTATTGTTCTCTTAAATTTAATCCTATTAACGTTTAAAAATCTCTAAGGTTCTTGTTCAAAAATGTTGTCAATGCAGAGGGCAATAAAACTCCCATTTACTTGTGTATTTAGGGTCTTTTTAATCCTTAGAGATAAGCCTGCCTAATGACGGGAAATTTTTGGCAAGACCGGACGAGACACTTAATGCGTTTCTCATTATCATTGTCTGCTGTAAATTTCATTTCTTTTAAATATATATTTTAAAGGAATAAAAATTATATTATCCAGACAAATAAAATAATGTTTAGAATTATACCCCGACATAACACCACCGCCGTTAGACGGAAGCACGAGTGAAAAGAAATTTACTACATTTGAACGAGTGCGACGCGAAGTCTCTGGTCCGTCTCTGGTTTGTTAAATTAGTACTAATCCTATTTATACTAATAAGTTATACTACGAGATGTTTGCTGAAAACTCATTGACTTCTTCTTACTTGATGGACAGTCGTGGTTGGCTGGCAGTAGTTTCATGGGTTGGTTGGTTGTCAGTAGTTCCATGGGTTGGTTGGTTGTCAGTAGTTCCATGGGTTGGTAATGGTGGATAGATTTCTGGTGCACTTGGCGTTAATCCTTTTTCCGGGTCCAGATTGTCACTTTCTATCGGTTTTTGAGCAGGAACTCCTGAGTCCAGTGGATTTCTTGCTAGGTGTAACAAGAGTTGAGCTACTGAGTCCCAAATTGCTCCCAATAAATGGAAGGACCAGCCATAAACGAAATGCAGCGCAATTCCGTGCAAGAGAACATCAACAACGGATTTAATTAATTGGTAACACATTACTATTCCAATGACGCCAGCGCTGTAGGTCCCGAACTTGATGAATCTTCCCCAAGTTTTGTCCCACACACTTTCAGCTAAATGTTCCAGGACTTCTTCATTTAGTACATTCATGATAGATGGGTTCATTCTTGATCCATTGAAGAACTGCTGGGCAACTGTTTCAATTACCGAGGTTTGTTCTATCGGGAACATAATTCGATTCCTCATGGCATCCAAGTCGTCTCGAGTGTAAATCCCACTGGTTGCTAGGTTGGAGGGACTGCGATAGCTCCAACTTCCTTTTGTATCGGGTTTTAGGCTGACCGGGGGTATGGTTTCTACAGGGGTCGGCATGAACTTGTACCATGTTGTACCCAGTTTGTAATGTTGAAGTAATGGTGAATTACAAGGAATTTCAGAAGCTTGATTAGTGAGGACGTGAGTTCTCGGCATCAAATACATGCTGAGATTTCCCCGTGTTACTGGAATTCGATTATAACAGGTGATCGCATGTCGTATTTTTACTTCAACCGGAATGCATTGAACGATGTGTATAACTTCACCGGCGAGGACAGCCATATATCCGGGACCTTCCATGAATCTATAAGCAAATTCGTCGGGCTGGGTTGATGCGATGGCCAATGACTTTTTAATCATATCTTTCTCTATTTTACATCGGTATATCATTACATTTTCGTAGAGATTGAATTTGATTTCTCAAGTATCTTTCTACATACACGAACTTAGCATTAGCGTACAAGAAAAGATCCAAATTTTCTGGATTGGTCTCTACTATTTTATTGACTCCCAAGGAAGCAAGATCTTTACCCTGGACAATAAATAAACGCGGATGTTCGGTTTTCAACATAGAAAGACCACATGAGTCCTCAGTTCCAATAGTAGTAAGCGAAAAACTTATGTCTCTGACGCTGACAGAAAACACTGTTCCTGACTTAGAGACTAATTTAGTCACTAGTCCCTTAAAAAGTACAGAATAAGTGTTTTCTTTACAAAATTTTTGAGGTATTGAGTCCCAAAAGGTGTAACCTCCATCAGAGTCAACACAACTACCTTCGTTTAACTTACAATTAAATCCCGATGGTAAATAAATTTTATTAAATTCTACCTTAACTCTAGAAAAAAAGGATTTTAAAGTGATTTTTACAGTACCCATTACGATAACTGAATTCCAGGTGCCGTAAGGGTCGGAATATTGTGTGCCTGCACAAGTACCATCATTTGTGATACTTCCTGCAAGCGTTATACTTCTCATAGCAGTTGAATTTACCTGTAACCCGTCGAGGACGGTGTTACTGATGCGAAGAGTGCCGTAGTTATGTGCTACTCGGCAGGCTTCGCGCGAGATCGTGTGGACGTATTCCATATGGGCATTCTCTACTAAAGATACGTGGGAATGCATTCCACAATAATACACCGCTCTAGTAATTTCAATTTTACATTGTAACATGTTGATATGATCAAACTCATTCAACTGTAATAACGCGATGTCCACTAGGCTTTGGTCCACGCGATCTCCTTGGTAATCACATTCATCAATATCCAGAAGGGATATTGTTGTCATATTTAAGAACTCGCTGCCGCAATCGTATCCGATTATTGCGGTAGTTGGAGTGACAAATAAGACGAACAATACTGCAAATAGAGACTTCATCTGTAACAGAAACATAATTAGGGTTGGTAATCGGGGTCTGAGTCCACGATTTTCCCTTTATTATTTGTGTTTTTCTTGGTAACAGGTTGGGGTTTAATTTTAGATAATTTTAACCGATTAGGGTGGACAATTTTTGTTGTGTTCTTTATTTTAATCTTTGCATTTCCATCCGGGAACGTTTGCAAGATCTCAAATGGACCATCGTATTGGTCCCCGAACTTATGGGGTTTGGGTCCTTTTGAAAGAAACACATTATCACCTTCTCTAAAAGTTACTGCCTTGATTTTTTTGTCATATAATTCTTTCGATTTTTCTTTTGAATCTATTAGGTTTGACCGAGCCAATTTACGAATCTTTGTTAATCTCTCAACTAGATTGACTATGTAGCCATCGTACGTTGGTAATTTCTCTAGATCGTGCAAAGGTTCCTCGGTGGGTACACGTGCTATTTTCCCATATACCAATTCGAAAGGGGTAAATTTCGTTTCTTCGTGAATACAGGTATTATAAGAAAATGTCACTAGTTCTAACCATTCATCCCATTCGCTATCCCTACTAACATACTGTTTTAAATATTCTCCTAAAACGTGATGAGAACGTTCTAGGGAGCCGTTTGACTGCGGCCGGAAAGCTGTGGTTTGAATTTTCTTTATTTTAAAACGTTTACAAATCCTTTGCATGAAAGCGCTAATAAAATTTCTACCTTGATCAGTCAATAATACCTTGGGAGCACCAAAAGTACAAAGTAGACGCTTGATAAAGGTATCAGCGACGGCAATAGCAGACATAGATGCTAAAGGGGCAGCTATACAATATTTGGACAATTGATCTTGAATCGTGAGTATATATTCGTGACCTCGTTTTGTAACCGGTAATGGACCCACGATGTCCATTGTAATTTTTTCGAATACTAATCCGGGTGTGTCGGTGATTAGCATTGGCTGTTTTGTTTTAACGCGAACTAATTTTTTTAGTTGGCAATCTATACATTGTTGTATCCGGAATTGTACATCCTGTTTTAAATTTTCCCAATAATAATTTGTTCTAATACGGTTGTATGTTTTTGACACACCTTTGTGTCCTCCCACAGGGGACTTATGGGCTTCATAGAATATCCTATCACGGTTCTCCTGAGAGACATATTTAACTGTACCTAAGCAAATTATGGGTTTAATTTCATCTGTTCCATATATTTCACAGATCAGAGAGAGTATCTCTGCCCATGGAATATTTTCTATAAAATCAGAATACGCGATCGAGAAGGACGAAATATTTTTATCCCGTAATATTCCCTTGAGCTTAACTAGCGTTTTTGCTATATGTAGTCTAATTTTTAACGACGATTCCCCTTCTGTTCCCCGAATTACTAAACCGAAGTAGTTTCTTTCCCCCTTTTTGGACCAATAGACCTGGCTAGTATCCATAAATCCAATTTTTGGGAGTTTACCTAGTTCTTTTAATAATTTGGAGCCTACATCACAGGGTTGTCCATTTTCGTCCAGGAAGTAGACTAAGTTATCCTTCCTATACTGAAACAAATCTTTGACGATAATGATATCATTTCTTCCTTCCTTGTTATCTGGTTCATCTTGAGGATTAGACGACTCACTGGTAGACGTTTCGCTTCCTGCGTCAGAGTCGCTTCCTCAGGATTCCGATTCATATGGTCTATTCTGAGATGAATCATTTTTGTTTTCTATTTTGTTATTTATTTTTTTAATGTCCGTTTTTACCACCGGACTGTCCGATCTGCTGACAGACGCCCTGTCTGCTACACGGGAATCGATTTTCCGAGCTCTCCTTGTTTTCCTGGAAGACCTGTCCTGCTCCGCTGGTTGGGAGATTTCCGGGTTCAGGTTGGACGGATCCAGGAGTTCTACCGTCTTTCGCGGCCTCCCTCGTCCCCTCTTCGGCAGACCCTCATGTTTTCCTGGGGGTTTTCTTTTATGTGCCTCCGAACTTCCAATTTCCTCAATAACCCCCGGTATATGTCGACTTTGCGCGCGTGTCGTCACATTGACCGGTTCAACAGAGTTACGAGATAACGCATCCGCGTTTAAATTTATTTTTCCTGGCTTGTATGTTACGTCATAATCATACTCAGCGAGTTTTAACCGCCACTTTAATATCCGGGCATTTCCTTCTTTTGAAGTCTTGAACCAGACCAACGGTTTATGGTCTGTTATTAGGTCGAACCTTCGACCGTACACATAGGGTCGAAAGTTTTTGACTGCTTGAAGCATAGCAAACGCTTCCTTCTCGTACGTGTCGTAGCGTGTTTCCGCGTCCCTTAACACTCGAGAGTAGTATGCGATAGGTTTATCTTTACCTATTTCTCCCTGTGACAGTACTGCTCCTATTGCCACTCCCGAAGCATCCGTGGTTATGATGAACGGCTTCGAAAAATCAGGGTATTGTAAGATTGGTGCAGCACATAAAGCTGTTTTTAGTTCCTTCAAAGCTACCTGAGCGTCCTCAGTCCATACAAATTCTCGGTCCTTCTCCAGCAATCTCGTCAGAGGTTTCGCAATTTTTGAAAAGTTTTTAATAAAACGGCGATAATAGCCAGTTAGCCCTAGAAATTCCCTAATATTACGGGGGTTCTTCGGGAGTGGAAACTTTTCCACAGCTTCCAGTTTTTCAGAATTGGGTTTTAATCCTTCTCGGCTGATAACATGTCCTAAGTAATTTACCTCCGGACGTAAAAATTCGCATTTTTCGGGCTGAAGTTGTAGATTCGCTTTCCGTAACCTATCCATAAGGTCATCTATTCTTTGCTCGTGTTCAGCAAGGTTCCTGGCAAAGACGATGATATCATCAAGGTACACGAACATTGAGATTCCCTGGAGTCCAGTTAAAGCGCTATCCATTAGTCTCTGAAACGTAGCCGGTGCATTTTTTAAACCAAAGGGCATACGAGTATACTCCCAATAACCTTGAGGAGTAGAAAAAGCGGTTTTATGGCTATCAGATGGGCCCATTTCGATTTGGTAGTATCCTGACGCCAAATCGAAGACAGAAAAGTATTTGGAACCCCCCAATTGGTCCAGAATTTCAACAATGGTGGGAAGGGGGTAGGCATCAGTGATTGTTCTTTCGTTTAATAAACGAAAGTCAATGACAACACGCCATCGTTTGTTTCCTTTTGCGTCGGCTTTCTTGGGAACAATCCAAATAGGGCTATTATACGGTGACTCTGACGGTTTTAATACTCCCATCTCAAGTCCCTCTTTTACATGTTTTTCCACTTCCGGTTTCAGGTTATGTGGAAGTCTATATTGTTTCGTGGAGATTGGGAAGTCTGAATTAGTCGGGATTCGGTGCTTGTACAAAACGCTGGAACTCAAGGGTTCTCCGGGAATGTGAAATCGGTCCGCATGTTTCCTAACTAATTTTTCGACGTGAATCTGTTCTACTTTGTCCAAATAATCTAACCGCAACAGGGGTTTTATTTGTTCAAATCTTTCTGCTGTTGAGGTGTCCTTTAATATGGTGAAAATCCTTTTTGTTATTCCTAAACAGTGATAAATATCTTGATTTGATTTATCTTGGTCTATAAGGGAGGGTGCATATGATTTTTTCACTTCTTGTACGTTTAGTGTAGGGATTTTGATTCCTACTTCATTGTTGGTCGTGTTGTAAATTTGAAGGTAAGCTCGTCCATTTTTTACCTTGACTAGGCAACTCCCTGCAAAAATACCTTTTCCAATTTTCAACCGAGGAATGTATCCTTGTGATACTTCGGGGTTTTTGACGTTTATATAAAAGGTCGATTCGCTGCGTCGCGGTACGTACATAATCCCATTTTCAACCCTGTTAAGTTTTTTGAATAGATATTTTTTGGTCCCCATTTCTAAGATTTTATTTTTATAATCAATTTTGGCTCCAAATTCCGAGAAAAACTGCGATCCCACTAATCCTGCGTGCGGGATGGCTAAACTATTTGGTACGACATGACATTCGGTGCGTCTGCTAAACAGTTTTAGATTCACACTCCCCAATGTTGATATAGGGGTGTTCGAAATACCGTGAAGTTCAATGATGTTATTTTTGTTTATTTTTGTTGTATCTTTTAAGTATTTTATTTTAATCAGATTTGGAACCGCTCCGGAGTCCAACATCATGATAATATCCTCTTGTTTAGATGATTTACCGACGACAGCGCAGGGTAAATTATCTAAATCAGACTTTACTTCGATTTTATTTATTCTGAGTCTTCGTCTATCCTCACGTTCTGTATCGCGTGTACAGGACGGGTATTTCGATGATCTTCTCTCGCGCCCCCCGAAGAAGATTGTCTCGCGTTTGCTTGGATAAAATTTATCGTTTTTAACCACCTACAATTTTCCTGGGTGTGATTATCAAGTCCGCAAACGTCACAATGCATCCCTGCATTTTGCGCGTAATTATTGTTTCCCGTGTTTGGAGGATGTCGGTAATTTCCTTGACTCGGCTCGGGATTCGAAGCGGGGTTGACTTGATTTAGATTTAATTTGCAATATCTAGCGGAATGGCCTCTTTGACCACACAATTGGCATCTTAAATTGGCATATTGATTTTGGCCTGTTTTTGCTAATTGAGGGCATGTTTTGGCTCCGTGTCCTTTCTCGTAGCAGATTTGACATTGACGTTCGGGGCAGTCTTTTGCGAAATGCCCTTGTTTCCTACAACGACGACAATTAATTTTTGAGAGGTCGAATTGGTTTGAATTTCCGTTCCCATTATTGGTATTTTTATTAGGATTATTATTATTGCCCGAGTTTGATGTTTTATTCTTTGGGTTTCGGGAATCAGTGGTAGTAGTGAAAGTTACCGGGTTCTTCTTCTTCTTCTCTTCTGCAGTCTTTTCCTTGGGCTTAGACATCAACTCGTTCCGCGCTTTCATTTTCCTTTCAATTGTTATGGCAGCTGCTAGGGCCTCATCTACGTTAGCGCAAATGGGCATTCGCTGCTCGATTTCCTGGTCCAAATTATGTGTGAATATAGCCGCGAGTGAAGAATTGATCTTGTCTTTGAACGCTCGATTTTCTTCTTCGGTCATATTAGGATTGTCCGACGCATTGCATTCAATGATTTCGTCTACCTTTTTTCTTAATCTATTCGCGTAATCCACTACTGATTCACCCTTTCCCTGATACAATTGTCCTAATTCGCCTTGTAATTGGAAAACCGTCTTTGAAGCTACATAAATCTTTTTTAAGTTCTTCGTCAAATCTAAAATTGTTGCTGGGATGGTGTGACTTAATGATGCCTTTACTTTATCGTCTAGTTTTACTCCGTAGATCAATTTACATAAATTTGCTTCTGCTTTGGCGGGTAACACGTCTTTTGCTTCCTTACAACATTTTGAAAAATCGATGAGTTCTTCCGGGACTCCATCGAATCGGGGTACAAACGCCAAAGCGTCGCTTAACGAGATACTTTGATTCGCGGTTAAAACCATTTCGTCGATGTTGTTTGGATCTTCGGGGTTATTATTATTATTATTTCCTGGGTCAATCGGGTTGTTAACTTTTTCTTGATTAACCGGGGTGTTAACCGTTTTTTTATCTACTGGGACGCTAACCGTTTTTTCTGTAAGGGTGTCGTCGTTATTAATGGTTAAATCAATGTTATTGTTACTGGTACTTGCAGTGTCCGATTTATCTGCCCTAGGTATTTCCTTACGGGGTTCGTCTTCTGAATCCTCGTCTGAAGTGATTTCTGGATTGATTTGAGATTTTCCTAGTCCCGAATCTACAGTTTTTTCACCATCAAACGCGTCTCGGAATTCAAATTTTTTTGTTTCGTTACGTTTCCGGGTGACTGGAGGTAAACCTTCTGGAAACGGCACGTATCCGTCTTTCCTCAGTGAATAAGATTTCGATTTTTCTTCATCAGACATTTAATTTTTAATTCCGATTTAATTTCTTCCCACGATTTCGTTATGTGAATTTAATCTAATTGAATTAATGGGACCCAACCGGTTTTAGAAACTCCTAGTGATAGACTTGGGGGTTCAGGATTTGGGAGCTGCAGTCGCTTTAATTTTTGACCCGACCTACGATCCCCTATTAAATCTTCCCAAATTACTAAAACTATTTCGTTTATACAACCGTAATTACTAACAATTCTGATCGCGTTTCTTTTTTTCCAATAACGTATTCGGCGGCCTGACTTTTTACCACGTTTTTTGGGCATAAGAGGTTAGAAAAGTGAGGAAATCAGAGCAGCTTTTTTTTTTTTTGTTTGTGCGTCTGATTAAAAAGGATGGGAAGACCAGAGCAGCTTTTTCGCGAATCCGGTTTGGAAGAGTAAGGAGGGTATAATTATTTATCCTTCTTTCTCAATTATCCTCTTGAATTTAACCGATATACGAACAGTCACGTTTGGCAATGCCTAATTAAACAAGGGTTCTAATCGGGATTTTAAAATTTATTTTTCAATACCTTTGTATTTCACTTATAAAAGAACGAAATTGTTAAATAATAGGTTAGCACATTTATAAAATTGTTATACACAACAAAATTTCATTAAAAGGGAACAAATATTAATAAACAATTTTCAATATATCAAAATTACACATGCAATAAATTTACATAGAATTTTTGTAAGCTTATATTTTTAAAACGTGAGAATTTCTCTATAGAATCTCTAAAATTATTATTTAATTTCACAAGAATTCAGAAATTTTTAATTCAGTTGTTTAAAATTTATTCAAAAATCTAGATAATTTTTCAGAAAATTTAATAAAATTTAATCACAAATTTATTTCTTTTACGAATCACTAAAATTTTTATTTAATTTTGCAAGAATTCAATAAATAGATTCAATTTGTTTAAAATTTATTCAGAAATTTAGATAATTTCCAGAAAATGTTAAGAAATTTTCAATAACTATTTAATAAAATTTATTCACAAATTAATTTCTCAATATCGTTTCACAAAAACTTCAGGTCCACGTGTTCGAGCGCCAGTCAAGTTGATTAGTCAGAAAATTTATAATGGTTCACGTGAAGAGTGTACCGATGGAAGATATAAATCAGTAATTTATAAAATAATCTTCATATTTATGAATTTAATCTTTTGTGGTGTGTAAGTGAGGTGATAAGTTTACGATTGCCATCGAAGAAACTGCTCGTATATCGTTACGACATTGTTATGGTGACGTGTATTACAATTAAAAATTGTTAATTTATCATTTATAATTTTATATTATATTTAAATCATTCAAGTTAATCGCCATTTATTTGTTAATTAATTCGATCAAATTAATATCTGTATCAAATGATTCTAATTGATGCAATATAAGTAAGATTTTATAGTCAGCTTATAATTTTGACCCAGATTTAAATGATTTTGTTATAAATAATTGAGTCTGATTAATTTTTTTGATGCAAAACATTTACTTATGTTACATAATTTAATCATATTACATTATGGAATTGTATGAGAACTCGTCTCAATTTTAAGTTAAAATTTTAATTTCTATTGTCAACTTTTTCAAAAAAAAAACAAAAGGGTTACTTATCAAAAATTTTTGCAGCAAATCGATCTATTAAATTTTGATTTATTGGTTGATGATTGAATGCCTAATTGATTGCTGGTCGTGAAATAAGATAATTGCTTTAGTTGAAAAATAATTATATTTATAATGCTGCAATTATCAGCTTCCGAGGCGGCTGCACTCGTACCGTATTTTGACGGTTCATGCACGACCGTAATAAATTTTATGATCTCTTGCAAAAGGGAATATTCTGTGCTTTCATCAGCGAGTCAAAGGGAATTTTTGCTATTAATTCAAAATAATTATTTAGAGGTTCGGCGCGTGAAATGATCAAAAACACGTCTTTCTTTGATTTGCACAATTTTGAAGTGTAATGAAGTCGTTATTTGTCCCCCAATCATTAATGAATGATTGGGATTCGGCTTCTAAATTTATCGACGAATTGATAGCGGACTTATGAAGCAATAAAGTAGTAAGAAAAATCGATAAGTTTGAGTCTGCAAACCTACCACAGCAAAATGATTCTATTAAAATATTAAAGGCCTCGAATCCAATAGATAAAATCTGTATGTTATAACGGGTATTTTCGTACTCGTGCGTTATGTGAGGACGAAGCCCGAAATAAATAATCTGGCCTACCTGCTTTACCTGTTGTTGGGCGCCAGGAGCTTTGCTCCAATCACGTCAATGTCCGGCTACTCCGGTCCGGGACTCCTTTCGTCGGGTGGCGGGCCTTAAGGGTACGACTTAATTATATAGGAACGAGGAAAATATTTGGGGGCTACTCGCATTGATTCGCAATTAATAAAAAAAAATAAATTATTAATTTATTAACAATAAATTCAAATAGTTGTTCAATATTAACAAAATAAAAGAATTAAACGCAAAATAATAATAATCGTCAACGATCTCGTCGATACGCCGTCGGTACGCAGTTTTCGCAAAAAAAAACAAACTTCAAAATTTTCAAAAAAAATACTCCGGTAAATTTCAATCAACAATCTCAAATAAGAAAATTTTAGCTTCGCTCACTCAGTCAATTTAATCAGTTAACGACAGAAAACAATTAAATCATCACGCGATTCACTCACTCGCAATTAATTAACTAAATAATAGATAAACACAAAAAAAATTAAATCTTCGCTTAATTTAATTGATAATACTCAATTAAATCATAGTACAATATAATAACGTCCTCAAAATTCAATTAATAAAAATAATCAAACATCAATCGTCGCTCAAGTCAGTTATTTTTAATTACCAAAAAAAAATTTGTTCATAAATCGTCGCTCAATTCAGCTAAATTCAGTTAATTAACCAAAAAAAATTTTTAACTTCGCTCGATTTAATTAATAGCAATTAATTAAATGATTAACTCTAATAATCAATTTGCCAAAATTTAATCAATAATAATTAATTCAAATTTAATTTTCTAAATCTCCGCCGAATTTAGTTCAGTAATAAGAAAAACTTCATTCACCACCTTTAAGTAATAATTAAATTCTATAATAAATCATTAAACTCGCCGGTTCTAATTTATTATAAAATTAATTAAGGGATTAAACAATTAAATTAATTTCTGTTTAATTCGCCGGATTTAAATAATCAATCAAATAATGATAGTCTAATTCAATCATTTAGCGTCAACAAAACAAAAAAAAATAATCACTCATTGTCTCATTACTAAGTCTCACACAGCCGATAATTCGCACGAACCCGAAGCTCGATCAATGGGTAATCGAACTCGTCGATTACCCCGGGAGTAACGTCGAAATTAAATAACAATGATACTAATAATAATATCAACACTAGTTTCATACAATCTTACTAAATAAACAATGGCGGAACCGAAATACCTCGTGGGATTATTGTATTATTGGTTGACTCCAAGCAACCTTGAAATTCCTTGGCGATGTGTCACACCAAGCTCGACAAATTTAATTACGAATAATTAAAAAGAATTACTTTATCAAAATAAATCCCACGAGCTATTTATTTAAGAAAACCGTGGCACTCACCCTGGTCGAAGACGTAAATCTACGTTGTCCGTCGATTGGCCGCACCAGGTCGTACTCGGCTTCCACGTCGACTAGTTTGGACAATAAGCTCCTTGGTGAGGACACTTGCTGACCTTTTGTCAATTTTTCACGTCGATTAGCGATCACTCAAGAACACGTCGTATTTTTGTTTACTTTATAAACCTTACGATCAATAATAACCAGCCACAGCCGATTGTCGTCGAGCTGGTCCAATTTTTATTAAATAAATAATTGGCGAAAGCCAATTATCGTCGTACTGCCGTAATAAATTTTTGGCAAAAACAGAACCGCAATTATCAACACAATAATCAATAAATAGCACACTACGTCGTGGCTAATTCAAAAGAAATCGTCAGATTTCAAACGCAAGAATTCCAAAATTTCTTTGTAATAAAAAAAATCTCAAAATCAGAAAATAAAAAAAATAACCAGCAAATTCTTCAGAATCGAAAAAAAAAACGTGTCCGCACGCGGCAAATCGAAAACGTGGAAGAAGCAAAAAATAAGCACATGTCGCATTCCTCGTCTCTCCCCTCTTTGCTGGGTCCGTCGTTAGCTTTGAACTCCAGAGATGGCGCCGAAAGTCCAATTTCCCAATATCGACGTTTTGAGTGATGTATTGGCTGGAGCATTGGCGCGTTCGACAGCCAGTTTTCCGCCTTCACGCATGCGTCGATCGCTCACTTCGAGTTCCAATAAGTCCGTCGTTCCAGCTTGTTCTCGAGGCAGCCATCCGCCCGTCGTCGATGATCTTGCAGATAATCCACGTCGATAATCCTCGTTGGTCTCTCTTCGCGGGTTCGTGACCGGTCATAGCACCATTCTTACAATTACAATTACTTACAACTAACTTATTTGTTAAATTAAATTCTTAATCGCAATAAATTTTTGTTTTCGCGCGCAATCGAGCTTCGATCGCATTTTCTCGCGCGAGGGCGACTCGGTCGCGGCGAATCCAACCAATGATCAACAATTAAATTTAAAATTAAGAACTCAGTTGAATTTCTTATTAAATTAAATTCAAAAATAAATTATCATAATAAAAAAAAACGTCTTAACAAGTGGCGCTAAAAGCAGCCTGTTACAACACCTCCCCCCAGCCGTCGACCAGGAGCCCATGGTTTCGTCTAGGTACCGCTTGGACCAACACAACTACCTTTTGAACCAACAGCAACCTAAACTACCCATCACCAGCAATATAACCACAAATAATTTCTCATCCAATTCCAAAATAAACAGTTTTTATTTATTAAATGACTCCGCTGAGCGGCACGTGCAATTCTATCGCCGTTCGGCGTATTCAGTCAGCGCCTTCGGCGCGTATCAGTCGTCTCCTCGACGAACAACAATGATTAATACAAAATGGCAAACTCATAAAATAAAACTTCAAAATACAAATAAAAAAATAAAGTACAAACAAAAAAACTAAAATGTAAGGGAACGGCGTCTTCTACTTCGTTTGCGACACCTACTGGCGTCGTGGACCGTCGATTGGGCACTCGGGTTGGCACCGGCGACACTCCTCGAAGTACACTCCGATCTCCCCGCATCTTTGGCAGAAAGTGCCTCGAGGGTGAGGACATATCGCCATGTTATGCGGCATCCCGCAGTTCCAGCATCCAGCTCGACACCGCGCTGGTACATTCGGGTTGGCTCGCAGTTCTCGGGCAAGAACTCGAGCGTTCTCCAGCGCTCGGGCTCTCTGGATCCTGGAAAGCAACGTCCGCGGCGGGTTGCGTTGCACAAAAGCGAGTGCACGGTTCAATCGCTCCGCCAACGGCAGCAACTCCTCCAATGTTGCTTCCGCTCGGCGCACTCGTTCGGCAGGCGACAAGTGGGTCGCCAAGATCGCATCAGCTCCTCTCAAGCACGCATGTGCTGAGTAGATGGGTCGTCGGCACGTTGGACACCGCCAACCCACGGCGATTGGCGCCATTGGAATCTGGATGGACAGCAGATAACGCTGATACCATCCCAGGCGCATTCGTCGAGTCGTCGGGAGCGCAACAATGCGGCAACGCTCAGCGCGCATTGCTCGCTCTTCTCTTTCCAGCAGTTCGTCGAACAAGCGCTGGTTCTCGGCACGCAGACGTGCCAGCACGCGACGTTGAATTTCGTCGTTGTTCGCCATCTGAAATAACACATACACCCCACACCAACAATTACATGCTTGCACAACAAATAACTAATTCAAGGGAACTCGAGCTTCGGTTATTCGTCGATATCGTCGTTATCGAGCGCACGCTCAACTAAACGCAACGCTTTGACATGTTGTCGTCCCGCTGGACGATTATTCTCGCTCACTAACTCATAAACGACCGGCGAAATAACTTTTGAGATTACATACGTCTCCTGCGAGTATTTACGCGCCAGCTTCGACGAAAAACAATCGGCTCCGCATGACAGCGTGTGCTGTCGCACCCTTACGACGTCTCCTACCGCAAATCGTTCATCTCGGTGATGACGATTATAGTATCTAGCTTGTCGCTCAAAACTTCGACCTAAATTATCTGCAACTAAGTCGTGTAATTGCATTAAACGTCCAATACGGTCTAACCACGCCGCAGTATCAGGACACGGAATGTCCGTCGCACCTTCGATTAACTTTCGATAATATTTCGGCGCACGCGGTTGCCACCCGTAATTCAACATCGCTGGGGAAACATGCAGCGAACTATGTACAGCTGTATTATACGCATGCCTAAATTCATGGACGTGCTCGTCCCACGCTCGGTGATCTAACTCAACAAAAGATATGATCATTGTCTTCAAAACGCGATTTACGCGTTCGACGGGATTCACTTGCGCGTGATACGGCGGTGTACGAGAATGATAAATACCATAAGCTTTTGCAACCTCATCTACCAGCTTATTCACAAACTCAGTGCCGTTATCCGTCAAAATCACTTCAGAACATCGGAAACGATGAACGACGAGTTTATCAAACTCCCGAATTATCGTCGGTCCATCGGCCTTTTTAATTGGCCATAATTCAATCCACTTCGTGAATAAATCTTGGAACACCACCATGTACTTGCATTTAGCATGACTAAGTGGAAATTCCATGCAATCGATAGCAACCACGGTCCATGGCGTGTTTACAATTCGTCGACACATCAGCCCAGCAGCTGGTTGTTGCGACACCTTCGACGTTTGGCAAACATCGCAATCCGCAATGTAACGTCGGACATCTTCTTCCAGTCCTGGCCAATAATAATCGACTTTAATTCGTGAAACCGTTTTCTCAATGCCTAAATGACCTGCATCAGGTGGATCATGATTTTCTTCGATGATTCCCTGATGAGCGGCTTTCGGTGGAACTAATTTCCAGGCATCCAAGTCCTCAACGACGCTCGATACAAGAGAATTCGGCATATGTCGGTACAACCGTTCTTCCTCGACACGCCAACCCTTGAACTTCGTCGGGAAAGCTATTACATCGCGTTTTCGTCGCGAATACCAATCATCAACTACTTCAGCAGCAGGTATTTCATCAGCCTGCTCAGGCAATTCATCAATTGCCATGATTTTATCGCAATATTCCAGTTCGTCAGGTTCAAACATTCGTGATAACGCATCAGGAACGTCGTTCAATGAACCCTTTCGATACTCGATCGGAAACTGATACTCGGCTAAACGCATCGCCCATCGACTCAATCTCGGCGTCTTACTTTTCAAATCACGCAACCAACGAAGACTGCTGTGATCAGTAATAACTTTAAATCGATATCCTTCAAGATATCGTCGAAAATGCTCACACGCCCAAAGAACTGCGAGGCACTCGCGTTCAGTCGCTGAATAATTTCGCTCAGCTTTATTCATGACGCGACTCGCGTACGCTACAACTCGCTCACCATCTTCATGATCTTGAGTCAAAACAGCTCCAAGACCCGTCGCGCTCGCGTCAGTCTGTAACACGAACGTCTTCGAATAATCAGGACACGCCAGCACTGGTGCTGTCGCCAAAGCCAGTTTCAACGCTTCAAAAGCCGTTTCTTGCTCCGCAGTCCAGGTCCATCTGACCTTCTTACTCGTTAACCGCGTCAATGGCTCGGCTATCGTCGCAAAATCAGGTATAAAACGTCGATACCACGAGGCCATTCCTAAAAATCGTCGCATTTTCTTCAACGTCGTCGGCCTCGGGAACTCAAGCATCGGTTTTATACGCTCTTGATCCACTAATAAACCCTTCTCGTTAACGCGATAACCCAAATAACGAACCTCATTCGTACAAAATTCACATTTATCAGCATTTATCTTCAAATTCGCGGCTTTAAGACCGCCAAATACTTCATCGAGCACTTCTAAATGCTCCTCAAACGACTTGGTAATGATTATCAAGTCGTCAAGGTATCCAAATACCTTCAAGCCACGTCTTTGTCCCAACATTTTGTCTATTAGACGCTGGAAATGCGGCGGCGCTCCAGCAAGGCCAAACGGCATGCCTACATACTGGAACATACCCCTTCCGGGTACACAAAACGCCGTATACTCTCGACTTGCCGGGTCGAGTTTCACCTGGTGGTACGCATGTTTCAAATCTATCTTCGAAATAAACTTCGCACCACTCAATTGGTCCAAGATCCATGTCATCAGCGGCAATGGATACGCACATGGCTTCGAAACGGCATTTAATCGTCGGAAATCCAGGCACATTCGGTACTCGCCTGTCGATTTCTTTACCATGATGACTGGACTGCACCAAGCACTCGTCGAAGGCTCAATTATGCCCGCCGCAAGTAGATCGTCTACCTGCCGGCACATTTCTGCCTCAATAATCGGAGAAGTTGGGTAATTACGCTGTTGAATCGGTTGATGACCCTGCACGTCGATTTCATGGGTCATCAGATTCGTAAACGTCGTCTCTCCTGTGTAATTCACGTCAGGCAATCGTCGTGCCAGCAATTCGTCTAACGCTGACTGCTGATCCGGGGTTATCTCAACTATGGCCGCTATTTCCTCCTCGATGAGGTAATCTTTCGCGTTCCAATCGTAGATTTCGCCCTCGCGTCGAGTCCACCATCGCTCTGAACCCCCGTCGTAGCAAATACCAAAAGCAATTATCGCATCCATGCCTAGTATCATCTCGTACTTCAACTTCGGGATGATACGAACCTCAATTGGCATGATTTCGTTGTTAATCGCAAGTGGCAGCGTAATCAGCGATTGCACTGACATCATCGAACCATCAGCAACTGCTGCTGAATTTCGAGGTGCTGGCCTCACTCGAGCACCGCACCCATAGACCCAATTCAACTCGTCAACTTCCCTGACGCACGTCATCGTCGAACCGGTATCTAATAACGCCTTAACCTCCCTTTCGCCTATCTTAACATCTATAAAGGGTCTTACATCGTCGCCCTCAGACTGCATAGGACATACTTCCTCTGCTAATTCAAGAAAAATTCGCTCACGCTCATCAATCGGTACGCAGATCCACTGATGGATCGGCCAATCAGCCTCTTGATGTTCGCGTGAGCAGTAAAACGCATTCTGGCACCCTAAACATCGCCATAATTTGCCTTCTACGCCACAAATGCCACAGAGGTGACGTTGTCGCAAAAGGTCTTCATCTGTTATCGTCGGTGTTCTCACGTCACATCCAGGTGAAGAACCAGCATCCGAGGACTGGTTCACGGGCCCGCAAGGCTCGATGTCGATGTTAAATATGTCTGGCAGCGGCTCGTTCGACATGTTGACTTCAACATCAATCATCGGCCCATTTACGTAGCGGGAAATCAGTTCTGGACCCGTCCTTACTGATTCCCGTTGTCGTTTTCCGGCCTGTTGTACTCAAAAAACATCATGCAACACGTGCATCCAGGCGTTGGTTCTGTTCGCGTTCCACAACCGAAACAGAACTTCACTTGTCTTGCCTCGGGACAATTACGCCATCCGTGATCCGTCGAGAAGCAATTGAAACATTTGCCCCAAAGATCACGACATACCGGCGACTTGGGTTTACCCTGCTTCGGGCTTGATCGGCCATTCGAGGGGCCTTGGTAACCTCGATGAGCTCCATTGTTGTTTGGAGGCCCTGAGGGCGGCCCTCGGTTCACGTTCGTCGCCGCTTGTGAATTTATCGCGGCAACCTGATCATCTGACTGATCCGCATTGTTCGGCTTGTTCGCTTTATTCGGCTTCTTTTTATTTTTCTTCACCTCCTGGGAGGAGGTCGATACAGCAGCAACCTGACCAACAGTACGTCACTTCGATTCGTACTTGTCAGGTTGGTAGGCGTACTCTGGAACGACGCTCTGTTCCACGGGTACTGGCTCACGTCGTTGAATACGATTTCGGGGAATATCAACCGCTCGTACGTGCTCATACAACTCGTCGCAGTTGTTAAAATCGTATCGCTCGAACTTCTGATGGTATTCCGGGCGTAAACCATTGTATGCAAAGTCCAATTGATCCTTCAACGGCAATGGATCGTCTACTCGCGACCACAGCGCGATCACGGCGTCTAGGAAGTCTAATCCCATCTCAAGCTTCCCTTGAGTACGCGTAATAACTTCCCATTTGATCCTACATCCGACCGATGGCTCTCCAAAACGTCGACGCAACTCGGATCTGAACTGGGAATACGATGAAATACGACGTTGAAAGCAAAAAATAAGCACATGTCGCATTCCTCGTCTCTCCCCTCTTTGCTGGGTCCGTCGTTAGCTTTGAACTCCAGAGATGGCGCCGAAAGTCCAATTTCCCAATATCGACGTTTTGAGTGATGTATTGGCTGGAGCATTGGCGCGTTCGACAGCCAGTTTTCCGCCTTCACGCATGCGTCGATCGCTCACTTCGAGTTCCAATAAGTCCGTCGTTCCAGCTTGTTCTCGAGGCAGCCATCCGCCCGTCGTCGATGATCTTGCAGATAATCTACGTCGATAATCCTCGTTGGTCTCTCTTCGCGGGTTCGTGACCGGTCATAGCACCATTCTTACAATTACAATTACTTACAACTAACTTATTTGCTAAATTAAATTCTTAATCGCAATAAATTTTTGTTTTCGAGGGCGACTCGGTCGCGGCGAATCCAACCAATGATCAACAATTAAATTTAAAATTAAGAACTCAGTTGAATTTCTTATTAAATTAAATTCAAAAATAAATTATCATAATAAAAAAAAACGTCTTAACAAGTGGCGCTAAAAGCAGCCTGTTACAATGTTTAAAGAAAATATTACCAGTGAGGTAAAATTAATCAAAGAAAATACACTGGAAATAAAGCAACGCGCGTCAGTTAAAGAACTACCTAAACATTTAAGTTTAGGAGTTCACGGTAACCGATCAGATCGATCCATACGGGGTACCAATTTATTGAACGACCGTGGGAGTGCACCTTGTTTTATCGCAAAAACGGAAAGTCCGGTACCACAAATTCAGATTGGCGACTTCGTTGGTTTTGGATATGTAAATCCACCAACTAGCACTGAATTGGCTATCACATTCAGGAATGGCTGTAACGATAAACATGTTCACCCCCAGACGGGGTTTCAGGTACTGTCAATTAGAGACATCAAAATTTCTGATTTCGAGAAAATCGTTGAAACTGCACGTGTTGGGACTGAAAATAGTTTGCGAGTCAGGAATGAGTTGCTCTTTTCACTAGATGGCCAGAGTGAAAAAAATTTATTGGATTCAAAATTTTGTTCACCCATATGGTTTGCTTTAGTCCCCAGTAACTCTCAGAGATTTTTGAATTGTAATAATAACAATTTTTGGGAAAACTTAAATGCTTCGGTAACGTTTGTACGCTTGACGTCGATGAAATATACTTTTGTAACTAAGTTGATAATTAACGAATAACGTACTCAACGAATAACGACAAAAAAAAGATATACGATTTTATTCTGGTGGTTTTACTTTTAGACGAGGAAAAATTAGAATTAAGTTAAAAGTACCACCAGATAAAATTAACTTATTTGAGAAAATTAATGTCACAAACACAATTAATTTTGATTACAATTTGTTTAATGGATTTGTGAAAGGCGTTTTAAAAGAAATAAGATTTTGGATGTTAAGAACTGGTTTAATTTGGATTTGGGACAACACGACTCCAGAAAGGTCAGCAGAAAATGTTCAGCATCATCAACAAGGTCCTATTACAGCGTTCAGAATTTTTATAAAAGTAAAAATTGCAAGATCTTCCGGTTCTGTGGATGGTACAGAGAAGGCTAAACGTCTCACGTGCATAAAAATCAAGTTTATGCACGTTGAGACATACAACTCAATCAGGATCATCCACTGGATCTTACGAACGGTAGGAACGCTGACCTACTGCGGTAAGCAGCACCAAGCAATTGAGTAGATTAAAGTGCTTTTTCTACGATCAAATGACTTCAAGGTTGGTCCAAGAATTCATTGTTAAGGAATTCTTGGTTCTAAGCATTTCGAATCATCTGGCCACGCAGTGTGCCTTGTACATCGTTGCAACCCGCGAAATATTTTGTGTAAGCGCAGGAAAGCCAGCATGCGTCATCGTCTTCAACCAGTGCCTGTATCTCAGAACCTATTAAAAGCTAATCTGTACCAGGGTCAATTTTCGAGGATCGGTACACTAAGAAGAAAATCATCGTTCCCAAATTAACTAAGTTCAATAACCCAGTTCACAAATAGATATTAATTAAAAGTAATTTCCAAAGTCTAATTATATTATTCAAATCGAATTCTGTTATTCGATCAAGAAACATGCGTTAGGAGAATTCTAATTCTGTTTTAGTTTAAGAACAATTCAATGTTAGCGTGGTATCTCAGGTTTAGGTTAAATTAAATTTTATTTTCACCCCCGGCCGAACGTTTAGTTTGTATAGAGTCATTGATTTTCGTTTTGAAGTCACACCGATTCTTGGGAAGCGCTGCGACTTTCTTAGGTCGGGAGGTGTAACGTTTTCGCAAAATTTAAAAATATTGTAATTAATTTTATCTTAAAAATTACAATTGCTTTGCTGGTGATGAATAAAATTCATCGTCAGCGAAGTAATGGAAATCGATTCCGATAAGAGAGTTTTCGGGCTCTAGCCTAAACATCGTGAGAGCTGGACTCCGACGACTTCTCTAGGGTAACCTGAGATACAACGTTGCCGATTTTATTAATTATAATAATTCTTTGTACTCTGGATGGAAATCCAGAGCAGTCAGCCCAAGGCAGTCAGCCGACAAACATCTTAGGCCCCGGACGTATGTCCGGAGACTGACTGACTCCACCCAAATTATTTTTTTTTCAATATATCTTAACTAACGAAATTTTGGTGATTCATGTAAAATTAAAACCTTTATAAAATAACTTTTAAAATTAAGAGAGAGCTGCGCAACTAGCTCACCTGAGGTCTATTGACACCCTAATGAAGCCAACCTGGAGAATAAATAATAAAAATCGTTTCATTGAAAAACTGATTTTTCAGAACGTTACAGACGCATTCCATAGCGTTCCCATTAAATCTACTACGTTTCAATGGCATTTGTTAAAAATTAAAAATATTTTTTAACTTATTTACAGCCCAAAATTGATGTATATCTTACGTAAGATTTCAGAGGGAGGTGGATGTATCAGTTCAAAATCTTACTACTGCTTAACATGGGGAGGGGGGGTTGTAAAATGCTTACGTAATTTATGAACAGCCCCTTACTGCTACGTGCGTGAATGTCTGTCCCAAATTAACATTTTCTGAAAAATTTCCTTGGTTAAAAAGTCGTTTGGTTGAAATTTTTAATTTCTCGCCATGTTAACCAATGATTTAAAAAAAAATCGGGAAGTTATTGGTTTAAGCCCGTTTTTCGAAAATCGAGTTTTCATCAGATCTCGGCGTTTTGAGGTCCTAGGAAGCTTCCCTGAATATTTTCGCGATGATGTCCGTGTGTCTGTATGTGTGTGTGTATGTGTGTGTGTGTGTGTGTGTGTGTGTGTGTGTGTGTGTGTGTGTGTGTGTGTGTGTATGTTTTTTTTATTTTTTTTTTTTAAGGGGGGGAATCCTTTTTACGGATTCTAGGCATAGCTGTTTGGCCTGGATATGTAGCGACTCGACGCAGCGTCATACTAAAACTTGTAACGTCCACGTTTTCTAAATAAACTATCTTAATTAATCCCCGGCTCGAAATTTACTCGCCGGAGTCCAGGGTCATAAACGGGGATCACAAATATACCAAAATATAAACAAAACACTTCATTTTAAATAAATCAAAGGAGAAGAACACCTCTTTATTGACCTTATCATGTTAATAAATAATATAAACAAATTAATCAATATAAACAATGTAAAAAAATACATTAGAACACTCTTTTCACACATATTCGCGGTTCAAAATCATTAACGCGGTTCGAAATCAATAAACAATATAAACAATGTAAGCAATATAAACTAATACAAATAGAACATTTTATCAAACATACACGACAGTATTCGCGAATCAAACTCAAAAACGCGGTCTACAAAACAAAAACTAGTTTTCCAATAACACCCCCCCCCCCCCCAGGGCGAATAGCCGTCATCCCTGTGGGGTCCTAAACTCTGCCCTGAGAGCAAGTGGAGAGTATCCTCCTCGCTCCCACCTATACGGCTTATGGTCACCTACCGTACCTGAGCTGAAAGACTTGGCACGGGGAGTCGCACTTTCATCCGGTCGGTCCCTGATACTTACCTGGGTCTTGGTAAGACTCCAGGTAGAGTATCATCCTTTAGAATTACTTGGTGAAGAGTATTCGCCCGAGTAATTCTCCAGAGGAAGAATTGCTTGTCAAAATTATTCTCAAAACGGAACTTAACATATTTTTGAATTATCACTACAAACGAAACATCTTCGCCATCTATCGAGGCTCGCGCAAGCTCATCGATTGTCGAAAATTTTCTAAGTTTTTATTTCTCAAACACAATTCTTTAAAATAATAATCGTCATTTCTTTCATTATACATCCATTCGTTTCGTCAAATTCACAATTCTTTATTATTTTAATCGTAATTTCTTTCATTTTCTATCCATTCGTCGCTTTCCCATATTAAAGCTTGCTTGGGACTTAGAATAATTTGCCCGGTCTTTTAATTTCTTTTATAATTCATTTTCTTTTACTCGCTAAATTCTGATCGGCCCCAAAATAAATCCTCACACTTAAATTTCTAATTTAATCAAACCTTCGGTAACAATAATATAATATTATTGAATAAATAAATACAATAATTAAATAATAATCACCGCCATAATCATAATAATGGTTTCCATTAATACTTAAATAATTAATGAAAATAGACCTAGATACTCAAATACAAAAAGTAAAATCTTGGTCATAAACTCGACGCTAACGCCCCTACCTACTAAACCCTAAACTCCTTTCCTCTTTCCTCTAATCCCTCATGGGAACCGCCGTAAGGCATTTTTTCGTGGGGGAAGGATATAGCTACTGCTCTTCCTTCCGGTAGCTAAGGTGTTATTTTACCTTTCTTCTAGTTGTTGTCATTTGCTCTTCTTCTTTCGATGGAACGTAAGTCTATGAGGACTTCTGTTGCAAATGTGCTGATGGCGTTCCAGGAGGCTCTTGATGACAACATTGCTTCTGTTACTGTCTCTGGTTGAATCTTCTGGTATAGGATACTCTCGAGTAGATCACGCTGTGGATTAAATCGTAGACACTTAAAGAAAACATGCTCGCATTTTTAATTACTCCTGGGCAGGACGGGCACTCTGGTGAATTATCATGTTGGAAACGGTGTAGATAAGCCTGGAAGCAACCCTGCCCTGATAACTTCTGTGTAAAATAGTAGTTGACCTCATCATGACTCCGGTTCAGCCGAACATCAATTCGTGGTATGAGACGGTGCGTCCACCTGCCTTTCTCTGCTATATCATCCTGATGGTAACTGTTACTATAAAAAATGGTAACTGCAATCATAAAAAATTGTAGCACTAACCATCTTTACACTGAAAAATTTTTTAATCATC